AATGAATTAATTATGAATTGCTTTAAATTCCATAAATTAATAAAGATAAAGTAACGAATATGATGAAAATGAAATTGATATGAACAGATATGAAGAATATGAATGTGAAATTGGGTGTAAGTTGATGAATGAACTGATGAGTGATTGAGTCAATGAGGGACGGAGGAAGGGCGAGGGAGTGAAAGAGAGTGAGTTAATGAAGGAGGGAGGGTGAGTGAGGGAAGAAAGATGAGTAATGAGAGGATGTGAGTGAGGAAGGCACGAAAGGAGGATATTATGAGTGATAGAAGGCGTGTGGATGAGTTGGGGAGGAAAGATGAGTGCATAGCGTGAATGAGTCTTTGAGTAAGGAAGGGTGAAAGAATGAGGAAAGATGAGGAAAAAAGAATGAGTGAGAATGAGGCAAGGAAGGCAAATACACGAGCTGTGGAGGGACGATGAATGCATCCCGTGAATGAGTGGATGTGAATAAATGAGTAAGGGATGGTGAGTGTGATGTATGAGGGATGAGTGAGATGGCACCTGGCGGGGGCTGGAGGCAGCTGCCGCCCATTATCACAGCTACGAACCGTGTATATGTGCGTTTGTATGTGTCCTGTGCTGTGTGTGTGTGTGTGTGAGTGGTGTATACGTGTGGTGTGGTGAGTAGGTTATGTGCGGTGTGTGTGTGTGTGTGTATGCGTATATGTGTAATGAGTATGTGTTTGGGTGAGTACGTGCGTGTGCTGTGCTGTGCTGTGTGCTGTGTTGTGTGTTGTGGTGTGTGTGTGTGTGTGTGTGTGTGTGTTGTGGCTGTGTGTGTGTGTGTGTGTGTTTAATTGGTATTTATGGATAATGTAAATGCGCGAATGTGTATGTGGCGAACGCATCCGCCTATCTGTATGTATATCCGAGCGTGAAGGCATTGAGTCACTATCATCACTATCATCACCACACGACCCCCCCCCCTGCCCATGGCGGCTAACAAAGGACAGTTTACAGTGATTTTATTGCATTATTAACGGACCAGTGAATGGGGAGAGGGAGAGCAGGGAGGGGAGAAGGGAGGAGGGGGAGAGAGGGGAGTGAGGGGAGAGAGAGTCCGGGGAGAGGGGGGGAGGGGGAGGAGGGAGGAGGAAGCACACTGAAGAATATGGTTTCTATATATTTTTTCTTTCTTTCTTTCTTTCCTTTAAAAAGTCATATTTCCTTTCCGTTTTTCTATGTCGTTAGATTTCTATAGCTCTCGTTTCTGTAGCTCTAATTCATTATATTCATTAATTTACTCGTTTACACCTTCTCGCAATAATCTAAATTTGTCGTATATTTTCTTCTCACTATGAAACGAGAGAGAGAGAGAGAGAGAGAGAGAGAGAGAGAGAGAGAGAGAGAGAGAGAGAGAGAGGAGAGAGAGAGAAGAGAGAGACGAGAGAGAGAGAGAGAGAGAGACGAAATCCTAACATGTCACGCGTCCGGCTGAGACTGGAGTCGATTGGCATCCATATCTAATAGGTATCTTGTTCACGGTCTTCCTGTTTCTTTTCTCTTCCATTTGTGACTACTCTTCTCTGACTAGTCTACTCCTCTGCGTACTTTAGCTGTTGATATTTATTCTTTATTCTTTATGTTTTCTTCGTGTTCTGGGTTATGCGACCCGAGGGTGAGGTTAGCCTGGCATCGTGTTCATTGCATGCTCACCCGCCTCGGCCTCTCCATCATACCTCCTGAGTATGCAATGGTCACGTGCTGGTCTTGCAATCTTGCTGACCTGCGTTCGATCCTGCGCGCTGCCAGTGGATGGTAACCGCGGCCCTTCCTTGCACACAGGGGGAGATTTAGAAGCAAAATGAAACAGACAGTATGTCACAGCCAAGAATATTCATTATAACAAATGGAATTGAAACGAAATCTTTAAGCCTGTGTCCTCCCAAGCAATTTGGTACCTTGCAATCCTAGGTAAACTGTTGAGGGTCTGCTACAGAGAGCCTTCGGTGAACGGATTCATGGACTTAGCCAGCTGAGGGAGATTCAAGCCGTTGGTAGGAGAGGAAACTCCAGTGGATGAGCATATAATGGTACTCTGACTGAAGTACATATTTGTTACATGTTTTCGTACCGTGTGATCTCCGACTAATATGCGTAAACCTGACGTGAAAAATATTGCTCCTGCTGTGCTCAAGCTGGGTATGAGGTGCCTGTCTGCCTCCATGTTCTAAGAGTTGAAATTATTATTCTTTTCATGTGGAACTTTGATAAGTGATATACTGATCCAGGCAACAACCAATGAGATTTTTTCATGCCCCAGATCATATAATGGCTTTGGCTACCCTTTGAGTTTTCTTCACAACCTCCATGCAGCGACCATCCGTAAATGCTTTAGCCAAGTAGGACAGAAGAGGAGAGCTATTAGATCAGTGGAATGCTTTCATGAAAAACTCGATGCAGTTCCATTGGTGGTTTTCCAAGAACAAAACAGAACTTTATTCCGTAGGAGGCTGTAGAGACCAAAGATGCATGCAACACACTTCAACTGGCTGGAGACGAAACACTGCACTGATCCTCCTTTCAAGGAACCCGGCCGGCCGAGGAAGATCAAAGAACATCACAAAGCGAATCTTGCTGCCTACTTGGACATGAAAAAAAGAGAGATACCAAGTTCTCTCCAATCCTCAGAGGGTGTACAAATCCTCAAAGCTCTTAATTGGGCTCAAGCACACTGAGCTAATCTGAAAAAAGTTGACCTGCCAATGGCTAGCATGGACGTGGATGGTGTTGTGGTTTGTCCATAATCTCTTCATCGACACCTCGCTATCTTTACTAAGACTACATGATTAAAAAGGCAGCTGTAAACCAATGAGTGTATGCCGCCTGTCTGTCTGGTGGCCTTATTGAGGGGTATAGTCGTCCCTTTCTGGAGGGGAAATTGGGAACACCACAACTGTAGCAACCATCCAGGTATTACTTCCTTAACAGTTACATGCTTGTATATCATATAGTCTTCTATCAATGTATGTAAACCTGATGTGAAAAAGATATTCTCCACCAAGCCCAATTCCATGGTAGAGAGTTGTTCTCGGCGGGATCACAGTGTAATTGGCGCCTTTAACGTAGTACCTGGCTGTGCTCAAGCTGGCAATGAGGTGCCTCCCCCACGTCTTGAGAACTGACTCTACCAGAAAAACAATCCCCTCTGAGATTTTATGAGATCCTTGAGTGTGATGATCACACAGAACTCACTTTTATCCTCCTTAGGCAAATCAGGGACTGTCCACTAAGACATCTGTGATTGTAGTAATCCAGTTTGCTATTACAAGGAAAAAACTCTTGTGACCTGTGTTTACTCACTAATCATAAATGCTTTGTAAATCACCTTTGCAGATCCTGAAATTCAGAGGGAACCTGATAAAAAAAATCCTCGAATAATAGGTATCCCATAAAGTGGCAATGACAGTGCTGCATCGGAGCATGTCTAGATTTGTGTTGTAACTCCCTGGATGAAGCAAAGGCTAAACCTACATTTTTCAATACTTGCATGGATTTTGCCCTTGCCCAATGCCAATATCCAGGATTCTGGGGTCTGCTAAGAGAACTTGTTCAGTATATGCTTGCTTGCAGATAAGGCGTCAAAGTCATTCAGAGCTTTACATAGCTTGGCAGAGTTTCAGATAAGATACGAAATTCATGTTTCCACGAAATCTTCTAGCATTCCCTGGTACTGCCCCCGGCACTTCAGGGTCCTTTTGTAATAGATCCTGACAATGAATTACGGGATGCAGGTAGCAGGACCATGCATCTGTGGCTCCATTGTCCGACTGGCATAGAACTTGCCATTGCACAATCTTGTTCTGTCAGTTCTAGGTATATGGACACTTGGCTCAATTCCAAAGAGGTTCCTGACTACTTTGTTGTCTCTTACAGGGACAATTCTCGGTTGAATGTAAAGCAACTTTGAAACTCGGGTCTTGGGCAAATCAACAAAACTTATCAAGAAAGGCAGAGTCCCCCCTCTGATGGCTATCAAGAGGATCTTTCATATCTGGTAACCTCTAGTTCCTACTCTCCTCCTTTCCTACTTTTATTAGTGCTCCTACTTTGTTTCCTATACCCCATTCCATTCGTTCTATTATTTTTACTTTGTTTTTATTCATCGTATTCTCTTTATCTACTTTGTCATTATGCTAATTTGTCATTCTCTCTCTCTCTCTCTCTCTCTCTCAATCCCTCTCTCTCTCTCTCTCTCTCTCTCTCTCTCTCTCTCTCTCTCTCTCTCTCTCTCTCTCTCTCTCTCTCTCTCTCTCTCTCTCTCATCATATTATATATATGGAATGAGTGTATCAATCACTGTTCCTGCTTCATATGCCGCAAATATATTTGTAAACTACTGTAATCTATGATATTAGACACCAAAATAAACATAATGAAACCACTAATCTTATCTCCATATTTCCTGCTGAGATGGGTCATGTAAATTCTCCTAGACAGTAGTATGACAAGTTGTATACATGTTCAACAATGACCTCCTGGTCTTGTGTGCTCCTGCTACGAATTGGTTACAGACTTCGTTAAGACGGAATAACGATTCAAACATGATTAGTATTTACATATCATCTGAGTGTCTACATCAGAGTAGCCATAGAGCTGATAGAGAAGAATCGGATTTTAAACACACGAATAACCGATGAATAATGACTTTACACTCTTCTTTTTTATTTTTTTTTTTTATTACTGATAACGCTGATAAGTGTCTAGGACGTCCGCGCGTTTTCCTCCTTTTCATTAGTATCGACGCTGTGGCTGAGGGAAGATCAGGAAAACAGGTAAAGGCTTCGCTATATTCTGCTTTCCCTGTACGTTATTCTCTTTCTTTGAATATCTTAGGGTACGAGGGAGCGATGTAGGCTTCATAGTGGATTCCCATACTTCTTTTTTCTTTTTCTTTTTTATCACTGATTACGCTGATAAGTCTTGAACGTTTGAACCAACCTCATCCGCGCGTCGTCTTCCTTGTCATTTTTGTCGACGCTGTGGCTGAGGGAAGGTCAAGGAAACGGGTAAAGTCTTCGCTACATTCTGCTTCCCCTGTACGTTATTCTCTTTCTTTGAGAGTCGTAGACTACAAGGGAGCGATGTAGGCTTCATAGTGGATTCCCATACTTCAGTTTTCCTTCTGTGCTGTATATTCTAAACCACAAAAGTTCGAGGGAGCCCACTATGGTACTGTGTCTAGGTACTGTACATTTTGCACGAGCTCACTACTTATGATAAGACACATCAATGAAGCAAATGAACCCTGAACATGTAATGAACTTAAAGTGAATTACGTTGTTGTTTATGCGTTCTCAACTATTCTAAATACATCAAAACAATTTGTCACTCGTCACTTGACTCATGTCTTATCTAAAACATTGGCAAAACTAGATAAGAGAGAGAGAGCTACGACTACCGGTAATCTCTGGACAACTTTTGTTCAATAGTAAGTACCATTAGGCTCTGTCTACATCCCGCACATATTGCATTGTGCACTGAGTCTGCTATCCTATTTTTAGCCTGTTTGCTGTAACCAGCTGCCTCCGAGACAGACTATGGTGGATTTTAAATGATTTTTTTATAATTTAGCGTTCCAACAGTGCCTCCACTCCTTATTATCTGTACTCTCACACCTGATCATTTCAATATCTCTCCGTGCATGTGATTGCTGATGTTCCTATTCTAGAATTATAATATATGGTCCTTGCCTCTGATTAGGGTAACACTGCATTTTTTTTTAATTATGCCACTACGCAGGATATTTGCTTTGGGACTTCACCCGCTGTGAATACTAGTGTGTGTGTGTGTGTGTGTGTGTGTGTGTGTGTGTGTGTGTGTGTGTGTGTGTGTGTGTGTGTGTGTGTGTGTGTGTGTGTGTGTGTGTATAGAGAGTAAATTGTAGGCGCCCGAATGATGGGCCCTACAAGAGTATGATAGGTGGCGAGCTTAGGGTTTAAGGTAGACAACAAGATATCCAGACTCCTTTATTCAAGAGCAATGTTACAGTGCAGCTGCTTTTCGGACCGAGGTGTTGCTCCTTGGTCCCCCCCCCCCCACTGGTCTGCTTTATCTCTTATGCAGTGGCCTAAAGATCGTTCAAAGTGACGCAGTTAGCAAGCGAAAACCGGTGATGAACAAGCAAGCGTTACTTCAGTAAATAGCTTATGTGGAAGGGGATAGACAACACAACATTGGAATGTCTAGTTTGGCAAGGAAAGAGAAATAAGCAGGTGAAGCAATATGCATATATATGTATGCATATGTATATGTTTAAGGTAGACAACACACACACACCTATGTGCCAAATATGCAAGATTATATAAATATGTAGAATATAGTAATAAGATATAGATATAGCTGGCTTACAAAGTGTATGTGTGGTAGTATTAAAGTGTCCATGGGTGGGAGTAGATGACTTTTACGTGTTAAGTCAACAAAAATGCAATTTTTTTTATATGATTACTTGTACACTGGCATTTCTAATAATAACCGAGCTGAAAATATCAACAAACATCAAATTTCCTGTCTTTAGTTCGCTTAGGAGTATTGTCGAAGTTAGCCCTGTTTGTGGCGTCCGAATGCTGGTGTTCCATGGCGTTGTTTTATTATTATAGTGGTGATTCGAGTCCCCGAAAGTGCCGCTATTCCAAGTTTTTTTTTCAGGTATGGCCCGTAATCGAAACAGAAACGCACACAAGTAGATATCCTCATTCACATAGACATCCATTTCTCCCTGTGGAAGGTCCATCGCCCACTCCCATTTCGTTCTCGGCTTTGCTGGGAAGTTTTTTTTCTCTTTCTCTTTTTCTTTGTTTTTCTTTTTTCTTTGCCGAAAACCAGTCATTCAATTAACTTCACATTTACACAGTTGCCCGTTAGCTCCTCATCAGTTTACGTGGCAGCACCATTTTCACGCAGTTCAGTTTGATATGATTCACAAACACATAGAGCTCTCGGTCGGTTTGCAGTTGAATGGTGAAGCTCTTTGTCAGCTGCTGTTTTGCAAGCTATGTGACCTTAGTGTCCCTCCTACCACCCTACCTCACTTCCTACCCACCCACTCCCCCTCTCCTCCCTCCCTCCCTCTCTCCTCCCCTCCCTCCCCTCCCCTCCCTCCCTCCCCTCCCTCCCCTCCCCTCCCCTCCCCTCCCCTCCCCTCCCCTCCCTCCCTCATTGAATGTCTTGGCAATTATTGGTGGAAGTAATTGAGATATTTCCATTATCATTATGGACGTTTTCATCAGTGATACTGTAGAGACGATCATCATCCTGATCATGTTATTTTTCTACGTAAGAACAGGAATATTGAAACAAATCATTACTTTTCCAGGTCAAGATAAGAGAAGTCCCAATGGATTTCGATAAACCTTCTCCCTTCCCTCTCCACGCTGAGCTTTCGCCGGACACCATGGATTGGGTGACGGAAAATTATGTGAAGCACCACAAGGAGCCCATTTGCAACCCGATTCCTGAGGGAGGAGGTGGAGGCCTATACGGAGGTGGACCTCGAGGGGTGGTGAGCTGGAGACGTTTCACGGAGGAGGTTATGGAGGAATATGTGGAAGTGGGTATGGGAGTGAGTTATACAGAGTGCCTGAAGGAGGAGGAGGAGGAGGCTGCAGTGGAGGGGCCGGCGAGCTCATGGGCGTCCCCGGGGCATCCAAGAGCACCAACGAAGGCCAATCACCGAAGGGCAGGACCCGGCTGATACAAAGTCCCACAGATTCCTTCGACTTCCTCAGCAGATACCAACAGGAAGAGGAGGTATTAGCCCCACCCACGGAAGAGAATGGAGGGGAAGAAGAAGATAAAGACGAGGGAATGACGTGGAGGGATGAGAGTGTACGGCGAAGAGAGCGTCCGGTGGAGCAATTGGCCAAAAGGAATTCATTCGCAGGGGATTTTGGCTTCAAAGTGTCCTTCAAGGAGGAAGGGAACGTCAAGGTGAGAGAAGCCTTCTTTAAGCGCCTCTCTTCTTCTCTCCTCATCACCTCACCTCCCACGCTTCTTCTTTCTCTTCCTCTTCCTCATTCTCCCATTCTTCTTCTCATTCCTCTTCCTCCTTCCTCCACATTCTCCTCCTCCTCTTCCTCCTTTTCTCTTTCCTCTTCCTCCTCCTCCTTCTCCTCCCTCTCTTTTAACATTATTCTTCCTCCTCCTTTTCCCCTCCTCTTTTCCTCCCTCCTCCTTTCCTTTCCTTTACTTTTTTCTTTCTCTTTCCCTCCTCCTATCCTCCTACTCCTCCTCCTCCTCCCCTCTTCTTCTTAACCCCTTTTCTTTTTCTCTCCTTTCCCCCTCTCATCTTCTTCATCTCCTCCCTTCATTCTCCTCGTCCTCTCTCCTCCTTGAACTTGAAATAATGTAATGTAACAGCGTTCTTGGTGATCTGCAACATACTATGTTCATTGCGCCACTTTACCGTCTCGTGAGTCGGGTGGAGGCTTGGTGGGGGGGGGGGATCTTATCTTCCGTTATCACAACACAGCGATTGCATATACTTGTCGAATCATGTTCATTCTTTGTCCATCCCTGACCTTTGCTCTCTCTCTCTCTCTCACACACATTCTCTTACCTCTCTCTCTCACACACACACACTTTCTTTACCTCCCTCTCTCTCTTCTCTCTCTCTCTCTCTCCTCCTCTTCTCTCTCTCTCTCTCTCTCTCTCTCTCTCTCTCTCTCTCTCTCTCTCTCTCTCCTCTCTCTCTCTCTCTCACTTTCTTCTCTCTCTCTCTCTCTCTCCTCTTTCCCTCTCCGTCTCTCTCTCTCTCTCCCTCTCTTCTTCCTCTCTCTCTCTCTTTCTCTCTCTCCTCCTCTCTCTCTCCTCTCTCCCTCTCCTCTCCTCCTCTCTCTCTCTCTCTCTCTCTTCTCTCTTCTCTCTCTCTCTCCTCTCTCTCTCTCTCTCTCTCTTCTCTCTCTCTCTCTCTCTCTCTCTCTCTCTCTCTTCTCTTTCTTATCTGCGTGTAAACTACTGTGGATCAAGGAATGAAGATTCTAGATAAAACAATTAAGCACTAATCCTATCACTTCCTGGTTCCGGTTTCTGCTTCCGAGATAAGTTAGAGAGAGAGATAAGAGGGGAAGAAAGAGAGAGGGAAAGAGGGGGAGAGAGGGAGAGAGAGAGAGAGAGAGAGGAAGGGGAAGAGAGGGAAAGAAAGAAGAGAGAGAGAGAGAGGAAGGGGAAGAGAGGGAACGAAGAGGAGAGAGAGAGAGAGAGAGAGAGGAAGGGGAAGAGGGAAAGAGAGAGAGACAGACAGACAGACAGGGAAAGAAACAGAGGAGACAGACATACAGAGAGAGAGGGGGGGGAGAGAAGAGAGAGAGAGGGGGGGGAGGGGAAGAGAGAGAGAGGGAGGGAGGAAGGGAGGGAGGGAAGGAGAGATAGTAAAAATGTAAAGTTGATTTTCCACATTGCATGGCTTAGTGTATCTCAAGATTTAGTAAATCATATTAATAATAAGAATAATAATAAAGAAATAGCGAAATGACGATAGTGAAAAGTAATAATACTAAATAGAGCAAAACACAATTATTCAGTCAAGAGTAATTCCTCCCTTCTCCGCCAGAGCTTGCAAGATGGCGACGGCGCTCAGCACCTCTTTACCATCGCAGGATTCCCGATCTCCATCCGAATCGAACACTCCGCCCCCTCCGACACGCCCATCAGGTTTCTGGTGGTGTTTACGGATCCCTCTCACTCGGCCACGCCCATTCGCCTCTGCCGGACTCACAAGGAACAGCAGCTCGAGCACGGTGAGTTCTGCTTCGAGTGGGTCTCGAACGCTGGTATTCCTATCTTCGCCAAGGTGGTTGTGTGTTTTGGAAGCGTTGGTTCGTTCGTTTGTTTGTTCGCTGGTTACTTTGTTCGTGTGTTTGTTTGTTCGTTGGTTTGTTCATGATTAGCAGGATAACTCTAAAAGTTATGAAGAGATTTTTATGAAACTTTTACCAGTGGTGTGTCTTGGATCAACTTGGAAACTTGGAAGCCATTGAATGTTTAAGGTGATCCGGATCATAATACGGATCCAGGAATTGTTTTGAAGGATTCATTAGCATTGCGAGATAGGGACAACTTAAACCTTCCCTCCCTCCCTCTCTCCTTCTCTCCCTCAAACCTCACTCCCTCTCCTCTCCTCTCATCTTCCCTCCCTCCTCACCTACCTCACTCACTCTCTCCTTCTCTCCTCCCTCCCTCTCTCACTCACTTCTCACTCCCTCCACGTCACTCATCACTCACTCACTCACTCACTCACGTCATCACTCACTCAGCATCCACTCACCACTCACTCACCTCACAAAGATGTGAATAGGTTAGATTACATGCTTGCAATTTTTGGTGATAGTGATGAGAGTGGGAGCATAGATAGATGCATGAGAGTGGACTTAACAGCGATGCTCGTGTTCGTGCGTTTCTCGTATGAATTCTTCCTCGAGGTGTAAATGATGGACGTTGCTTCGCGGTCTTTTGTGAGCGTGAGTGCATGGTAACCCTCCGAAGGATGGGTCCGTTCGCCCGCGCGACAGACCTCATACTGAAGGTTAAAGGGGCGTTTCCGAGCGGCCCGTCCTGGCGACGGAGCCCCACCTCTCCTGCCTGGTGACCCCGTGGGAGGCCGACCCGCAGGTTTTCCACGCGCAGCTCCGCTTCCTCTGCTTCAACTCCTGCTTCAAGAGGAAATGACCCTCATCGTCCAGCTGAGTGCCGGGTGAGTCGCTTCGGATTCTTCTTTTCGCTTCTTCGTATCAATTCCTTTGGCCTTTGCTCTTTTGTTTTCCTTTTTTTTCTTGGATGCATATCCTCGACCTTTCCCTTTCCTCCTCTTCCTCTCCTCTCTCTCCTCTCTCCCTCTCCTCTCTCTCTCGCCTCCTCCCTCTCCTCTCTCCGTCTCCTCTCCCCTTCGCGCCCCCGATCTTCTCTCTCCTCGTTGGCCATCCCTCGCGGTTTTTATACGGATACATTCAAGGGGCTTCTGGTATGTAGCTAGTATACGGTCAGGTCAAAGGCTGGTATTTGTCGTCTCTCAAGGGATAGCGTGATCTATTCTCTTCTCCGTGATTCTCGCTCGTCCATCAGAATACAAGTTTGGCGTAGCTCTAGGCGCGGAGCTCGCGTGTCGGGGCATCTTCCCATTGGCCTGTGCTGTCGGGTCCCTCCTCCTCAGCTCTCTCTCTCCCTCAACTCTCTCCTCTCTCTCATCTCCTACTCTCTCTATCTCTCGTCCTCTCTCGTCACTTCTCGTCCTCCGAGGCCTCTCTCTCTCTCTATGTATGTATGTTTGTATATGATATAATATATATATATATATATATATATATATATGTATATATATGTGTGTGTGTGTGTGTGTGTGTGTGTGTGTGTGTGTGGTGTGTGTGTGTGTGTGTGTGTGTGTGTGTGTGTGTGTGTGTGTGTGTGTAGGTATATATATATTCATATATTTATACACACACACAAACACACATGTATACATATATGTATGTATATATGTAATATATGCATAATGCATATATATATATATATATGCTGTGTGTGTCTCCTCCCTTCTTTCCTCCTTCCCTTCCTCTCCCCACCCTCTCCTTCTCATCCTTTATCTCTCGTTATCCCTCCTCCAGCGGGCGTGTGTGGCGGGGCGGAGGTCCTTCCCCCTCTCGGTCACCGCCAACCCCGGCCGGGCACGCAGGGACAAGTCGAAGGTAGGGTTGCGTCTGGGGGCCGTCTGGGATCGGCGGGTTTTGTCTCTGTGTTTCTGATATTAAATTGTTCAATCTTTTTTTTTATATAGGATGAGTAAGGAGAGAGAGAGAGAGAGAGGGGGTGGGGAGGGAGGGAGGGAGGGAGGGGAAGAAGAGAGAGAGAGAGAGAGAGGGGTGGGGAGGAGGGAGGGAGGGAGGGGAAGAGGAGAGAGAGAGAGAGAGAGAGAGAGAGAGAGAGAGAGAGAGAGAGAGAGAGAGAGAGAGAGAGAGAGAGAGAAGAGAGAGAGAGAGAGAGCCAGAGAATAGAGAGAGAGAGAGAGAGCCCAGAGATAGATAGAGGAGAAAGAGAGGGGGGAGGGAGCGAGGGAGAGAAGAGAGACAGAGAGAACAGACAGACAGACAAAGAGGATGGAAAAAGAGATGAAAGGGGGAAAGACGGACAGGCAGACAGACGGAGAGACTTATAAACAGAAAGACATAGATAGAGGCGATGGGAAGGTAGACAGACTGGCTGACAGGTAACTGAAAAGACAGACAGAAATAAGGGAGATTTAGAAAATGATTTGCAAACAGACAAATTGGTAGAAAAATATGGATGAATGCAAATGAAGAAACAAAGAAAAAAAAAAGCTAACCGCCCTGACTGATTTCGACAGATGGAGCGTCGAAATGAAGATGGAAGGAACAAGAATAAAACATGCTGCAACATGTCAAAGCAAGTAAGTTTTCTTGGAGTTTTCTGATCGTTTCAGCAATAGTTTAATCTGCATTATGCCAAAATATCTATCTTATACATACACACACACACACACACACACACACACACACACACACACACACACACACACACACACACACACACACACATACATATATATATATATATATATATATATATATATATATATATATACATTATATATATTATACATATACACACACACACACACACACACACACACACACAGTATATATATATTATATATATATATATATACATATACATATATATACATATATATTGTACACACACACACACACACACAACACACACACACACACACACCACACACACACACACACACACACACACACACACACACACACACACACACATATATATATATATATATATATATATATATATATATATATATATATACATAGACACACACACACACACACACACACACACACACACACACACACACACACACACACACACACACACACACACACACACACACACACACACACACACACACACACACACACACACACACACACACACACACACACACACACACACACACACACACACACAACACACACACACACACACACACACACACACACACACACACCACACACACACACACACACACACACACACACACACACACACACACACACACACACACACACACACACACACACACACACACACACACACACACAGACACCTACACACACAGACAACACACACACACACACACACACACACACACACACACACACACACACACACACACACACACACACACACACACACACACACACACAACACACACACAACACACACACACACACACACACACACACACACACACACACACACACACACACACACACACACACACACACACACACACACACACACACACACACACACACACACACACACACACACACACACACACACACACACACACACATATATATATATATATACAGAGAGAGGGGGGGAGGGACAGAGATACAGACAGACAGACAGAGACAGACTGACAGAGACAGACAGACAGGCAGAGACAGACAGACAGGCAGACATCCCCGCACTCGCGTACCTGAAGTCTCGTCCCACCTTCAGGAGCCTCGGAGCCTCGGGGCAGAAGAGAAGGCCGTGGCGAGCGCGTGGCGGAGCGTCCTGCACGAGGCGAGACAGTCCGCCCTGCTGCACGTCGTCAACCACTACTTCAGGAGATTCCACGCCCAGGAGTACGAGGCCGTGGTGAGGGAATTCCGGTCTTTGGTGGATCGAAAGTTTAAACTGCAATAAAGAGGGAATGGCAAGAAGGAAGACGAAGGGGAGCTAGAAGCAATGGGGAAGATCAGTCAGAGAAAAGGCAGAAGATAATGACTTTTCCAATCCACAATACCTTTCTTTCAGGAGAAATATCTGTTCCATGGATTTATAAGATTATTATACTGCTATATACATCCACTTAACTTTTCTTTGTAACACTTATTTTCAAATATCTTTAATATATTAGTATTGATTTTATATATACCCATAAATAATTGTTTATGTATGTATTTACACGCGTGCCGATCCTCGACATTTCAGTATCCAAAACAAGAGCATTCCAAGAACATAACTTTAACTTTGTATTACCAGTCCGGAGACTCCATCCTCAGAACTACCATGTCTGGCCGGCACGTCGCGAACGTGAGGTACCCCCACTAAGCAGGAGTCCAGACTAGGCTAGTCCCCCCTTTTCTAGCCAGCACCAGAATTCTATGATCTTGCTTTTTTCTTCCAAACACGTCCACGCAGACGCTCAGCCTACGCTATCTCCCTTTTCACATCTACACACTTACACATCCAACATTCAGTACACACATCCTGTACTTTCCTTCCACCCTTCTCTGATACAACGCCCACACCCACTTACACACACACGGTTCCCGAACCTACTAATCGGGTGGTGGCAGCGTGCCGTAGGCCTGGAACCTTACATCTGTTCACTGCAGACGAATCTTTCCTTGAGCAAATAACTCAATATTCTCGGTTGAGCCAGGACTCAACCAGACCACTTAAAGTCTACTGGGTCTGTCTACCCCGCTACAGTAAGTCTTGTACTTACGGGGTTAAAGGGCTTCAGGGTTGTGACGAGCGAGTCATGCTGCAGTACACGCCAGCTACCACCCTTTTGAAAGCAGCTCCCCTGTTCGTAAGTTGCACTCTGCAAGACCCGCGTTGTAGTTTGAAAGTGTCTCAGAAAGGGGTAAACACTACAAGCCTACTGTGAGCGGCGGCGGCTGGGCACGAGCACGTAAATCGCACGTGGCGAGACCCGCTTCATTTGACGGCTTGTTTACAAAACCTTTTCTTTCTTCGCTAAGGAAGTTATGTTCTTGGTAGTGCTGGTAAGTTGGTTAGCAGGATAACTCAAAAAGTTATGAACAGATTTTCATGAAATTTTTACCAGAGGTGTGTCTTGGCCCACCTCAGATGCCATTCAATTTTGGTGGTGATCCTGATCCTGATCCTGCGCAGGATGCCTCAAAAGGTTATCATCAGATTTTTTATGTGATTTTTAGGCCAACTTAGATGACATTAGGTTTTGGTGGTGATCCGTATTTTGGATTTTTCTAAAGGATTCATTAGCGAGATAGGGAAATACGGACATCACCAGTGTACTTAAGATAGAGGTGATTTTAATGTAATTCTTCAAATGTGAACATTTTTAGCCCACCAGTGACCTTATTGCCTATTGAGATATGAGCGCTCTGAGTGCTTCTTATTTTAAGTGTTTTAGTTTTAGTTTTGTATTTTTAATTTTCCATACTGAAGGCTGCTGTTCTTACCTTAGAGTTATACAAATAAGATAGTCATGCATGCCTTGTATTTTATAACTCTATGTAAAGGAAGAGTCTATCATTGCTGAGATTGAGATGTTTTCAACAGAAAATACTCAGAATTACACCCAAAGAATATGACAAGATATTCTTAAGATAGTGAATTTATCTATGTATAAATGATTAGGGGGGAAAAGGTGCTACAGCTCATACAAGGAGCTAATATTTGTGGCTCCATAATAACCAGATATGTCAGTCTAGGGGTATAACTGCCCTATGAACATTTATCCAAATATTGATATTAATAACTGTGATTTAGTGAGAGGATGTACCTTTACTTGAACCCGAAACGGAGATCCAATAAAGATACGAATCTTAGTAGGTAACTTTTGCATTTTCCTTTCCTTTCCTTTGGTTACGTCCATGC